TCGCCTCAAGGCAGTTTTTAAACTGGACGCACATCGCACCATTTGTTCAGCTCATTAAGCACTCGATTTGCCCACACACACAGTGCCCTGAGAAAGTTTATTATTATTATATATTTTTTATTTTTATATATATATATATATTTTATTATTTATTAATATATATATATATATATATATATTTATTTATTTATATATATATATATATATATATATATATATATATATATATATATATTAAGTTTTACATTTTAAAATAGTTTTTTTTTCCTTTGGACGTCCGTTTTGTAGATCATGACATCAGGATTTGTTGTTCGGCAGCATCTTCTCTTTGTGTCGGAATCACTCTGCGCTTTGACTAATCCGAACTAACGCGGTACAGATTACGTTCGTGCGAATGTAGCAGCTTTTGTGTTCACTAGCAAAATACTTTTATTCTCGGAATCAACACACTGATCGGCCCCTGGCTGATGCGTTGCGTCGGCCACGGACCCTGAAGTCTCAAGGCATTCCACAGAAGGGATTTACATTTCAAATCTATTCTCACCATTCTCAGAATGTAGCAACAGCATCAAGTGTGTGTGAGAAAGTGTGTGAGTGTGCGTGTGTTTGTGTGTGTGTGTATACTGCAAAGGGTTTAAAGGTAAGAATCCTATTACTCGTAATCCTCTTGGCTCAGTGCTTAGTCTTTCAGCTGATGTCTGATACTCTGTGATTTCATCACTGTGCCTCTGCGAGTAAACATGTCACATCTGTGGCTTCTGTTTCATACTTTTGTGTGTGACAGATCATCAAACACAGACAGTGGTTGACACATGCAGGCCCAACTTTAAAGCTGCTTGCTAGCTTAGCGGGTTAGTTTGGCAGGTTGGCTTAGCTGGTTAGTTAGGCAGGTTAGTTTGGCAAGTTATCTCAGCGGGTTTAAACTGGACGCACATCGCACCATTTGTTCAGCTCTAGTTTGGCCGGTTAGTTTAGCAGGTTAGTTTAGCGGGTTAGTTCGGCAGCTTAGTTAAACAGGTTACCGTAGCTGGTTAGTTTGGTGGGTTAGTTTAGCAAGTTAGTTTGGCAAGTTAGTTTAGCAGGTTAGCTTAGTGGGTTAGTTTGGCAAGTTAGTTTAGCAGGTTAGCTTAGCGAGTTAGTTTGGCACGTTAGTTTAGCTGGTTAGCTTAGCATGTTAGTTTAGTGGTTTAGTTTAGCAGGTTTGTTTGACAGGTTAGCTTAGCGGGTTAGTTTGGCAGGTTGGTTTAGCAGTTTAGCTTAGCGGGTTAGTTTGGCACGTTAGTTTAGCTGGTTAGCTTAGCGGGTTAGTTTAGTGGTTTAGTTTAGCAGGTTTGTTTGACAGGTTAGCTTAGCGGGTTAGTTTGGCAGGTTGGTTTAGCAGGTTAGCTTAGCGGGTTAGTTTGGTGGTTTAGTTAGCAGGTTAGCATGTAATTTTTAGCATGTAAGTTTCCCCTACCATTCAATTAGGCCCCAAGAAAGTTTTCTTTTTTATGTTTACAATTATCCATCATAGATGAGAATTGTTTGGGTTCTTCCTGATACCAGTGCTAAAACGATATGCCTAAAGAGTGCCCGGTAAATAGTCATAAGGAGTCGATATGAAGAAAACAACGAGCGCACATTCTTGGTCATTACCTTACGGGAGTCAGCCTGGGTTGCTTTGGAAGGAAATTAAATCCGTCCGTTAGTAAGCAAGAATTGCTAAACCCCATTACCATTAGTTTCGGTCATCTCCCGCGGCAGACCGTTCATGTGTGACCTGGTGTCATTTTTTTATCGATGGCACGCGATCGACTGGTGCTGCCTTTGATATCAACTGGTCGATCGTGATCGACGTATAACACTATACGTACATGCTCTGTAAGAGCCGGAAGATATATTACTTTGTTGGAATTTTGGGAATATTAATCATTTAATGTATGGTCATTGTGCAGGAACTAAAGATATGTAACATATATTGAAAGCCTTTATGTTGGATTGACGCTCCTTGTGTGTCTCAATGTATTGACGTCATGAATGCAGCAGGTGCAACACAGAGGAGCTGCATCAGGCGCGAGAGCGTATCGTTTATCTACCTTGAGACAGAATGTATGAATCGTATATTAAGTTAAGCTTTGCTGCGTAAAATGAAGACAAAATCAAAATGATCAAACTATCTTGTCATTCGCATAAGAAAATTAAGTCACGTGTCTGTAGGGCTGTCACGATATGAAATTTTTGTTGTGCGATTATTGCACCAACATTTATTGCGACATTATTGCAATTTTCAGACATTTTTATGCCACTGATAACATTATGACAATGTAATAGCATAGTAATACAAGTACACTCTTTCGAAGACCAAGAATGTTTTATTTGTCAGACTAGTTAGTAGGGGTGTAACGATTCATTTTAACAACGATTCGATTCACGATTCACGGTTGCCGATTCGATTCATGGACGATCTGGGTTAATTTAGAACGATTCGATTCGATTCAGTGACTTGAAATCGATTCAGTAACTTTACTGGACAGTGCAGGCAAAGTTTCTGAGATTGTTTCTTGTAAGGAAATCAGGTTTAAATTAATTATGGATATTATAAACAAGCAAACAACAATTAATGGCAAATGTACCTTTTATTTGAATCAAGTGCCATTTTCCATGTAAACATTACACAATAATTACACAATGTTTGGATCAATTCACAGAACCCCGGATTTTCAACCACATCGTAGGGTCGCACGTCTTTACAGATAAACTTGTTACTGTGATGTTGAGGCTGGTGCTGGCGAGGCCTGAGGCGTCTGCAGAGCTGCAGTTACCTGCTGCTGCTGCAGCGGTGACGCTGCTAGAGGTCCTGACTGTCTGCGTTGTTTAATCCCACGGCGCCTTAGTAGATGGCCGGAAAGATACGTCGTGTTTCCGTGGTTTTTTATTTGTCTTCTACATATTCTACAAACAGCGACCGACTTATTTAGAACACCTCCGTGTTTGCAAAAGCCAAAATGTTTCCACACGCTGGATCGATAAGTTGGTTTGTAAATGTCTCGCTCGCAGTCGTCTCCTCCACGCTGTGTTTTGTTGTTGTTCTGAGTTTCGCGCGGCTGCCGCTGTGTACTGATGACGTCACAGACAGGCAGACTGAATCGAGTAACGTTTAACGTGTCTAAAGTGCTAAAAAACAAACACACAAACACACATCCACACCGTTTTTGTACTTAAATCCAATGTGCAGTTTCCAAGTATCGATACAATCGATTATGTACCATTTCAATCGATTTGTAATCAATATATGTCGTCCGGAATGGCGATTTGTGGAGTACAGATCGATTCAGTTGGATCGCAGGAATATAAATCGATTAATCGTTTCAGTGAATGAATCGTTACACCCCTACTAGTTAGATATTAGAGTCGGAATGTGAAAAAACATATCCTAAGTGAATAAAACAAATAAAAATTAAAAATTAAAGCATTAAATTAAATTAAATTAAAAAGCATCGGGCATGGTGCGATGCGGTAAGTTCGAGGAAGTGTGTCCAGCGGGAAACCACGGAAAAGCTCTGATGGCGTTTCTGTAGTGGCTTCGCTAGCAGCGGCCCACTGATGTCTGCTTCCTTCAGCACGGCCCGTTAATGCCGCTCTCCCATTGTTTGAAATATCTAATGTTCCGCCTCCACATTACTTACATTCTGCTCGTCCCGGGTCTTGGTTTGTCGTAACTCATGACACTTTTCCATATGTAGCCAACCACGGTTAAATCTACACTTCCCGGCGCAGCGGACGATTCCTGAGCTACCGTTTTAAGAGAGCGTCCTGCTTGTATTTTGAGCGTCTCCCTTTAAAACCGTATGAATTATTATAAACGTATCTCGAATGAACCACATGAACAAGGGTGTAGCGACGTTCCCTCTATGTCATTTGTTATTGAGCCACAATCGAGCTGCAGACACAGTGACTTAATTTCCCAACCCGAACTACATTTGATCGTTTTGTTTTGTCTTTATTTTACGTAGGATTTTTTTTTCTCGTAAATATACAAATAAAAAATTCTGTCACACGGTGGGAAAACGATATGCCTAATGCTGCTCTCTGTGTTGCACCTACTGCGATAAAACTGTCAGATAAAAGGTAAAACAAGTTTGTATTTAATGTTTTGTGTGTATTTATATTCACAGTATACTTCAAACATGTAATGTGTTGTTCAATTTGAAGAAGAAAAAACGCGTTGGCAATTTAAAAAAATTAAATTAAATTAAATTCGTCAATTGTCATTTGTGCTTTTTAAAAAAAAATTAAAAAATTTAAAAAAAAGAGTATCGGTTCAGGCCCCTTTCAGGCACCGGCATTACCATCAGGGTCGTAAAAAGCCAAAGCCATGTGTCAACACGATCACCACAAACCAGATGGGAAGACGACACCTCCACAAACGACCTTTAGCGGCATCTATTTAGGAGACACGAGGAGAAAAATCTTCATCTCGCGATCTCCATCTCTTCTTCTGAGCAGGTGCGGCCGCCCCTCCGTCTACTCTACCCGTCTACCCCCCTCCCCCCCCCCCCCCCCCCCCGGGCTGCTGTTGTCTCTTAGCAACGCCGGCAGCCCAATCGATGGAGGGGATGGAGGAGAAACGAGAGCGACAGAGGGGGTGAATGAGGGGAGTGAGACGACAAAAGGCAAGAAGGAGGTGGGGGGGGGGGGAGTGGGGAGGAGGGCAAACGGGTGTCAAGTGTACAAAGCGAATGAGGAGGTAAGGGGAGATGTAGGGGGGGGCGCACAAAGAGGGGGAGAAAAGGGGGCTGAAGGGAGATAGAGGGAGATGGGAAATGCACTATTGGAGGTGTAAATGTCAAGCTCCCACCAGGTCACGCGCATGTATTGCCATTTGGGAGCAGCATGTCAGAAGATAACGCAGATACGGCACCGTGCGGGTTATAACGAACGCAGCAGACGTCACATGTTCGTACAGACCCTCCTCCCGCAGCTCCCTCCACCACCCGCGAGCAGCGTGCTCAAAGGCTCACCTCGTCCGGCCGGTGTCCCTGCGTCCTCCTCCTCCTCCTCCTCCTCCTCTCGGGCATCCAGCGGCTGTCGGCCGGTTGCGTCCGAATCCGAATGCGCGCGTTCTCCCTCCGCGGACGCGCGCGGCGCGGCGCGACGAGACAAAGGGAGGCCGGAATGACGCCGGCGGATTCGAGCTCGCTGCGCAGAGGCACCGGGCGCCTTCCCAGCGTCACCGCGGCTGAGCGCGCCGGCTGAGCAGGAGAGGCAGGTCTCCTCTCCGAGGAGGCGGCGTCGGTCCGGCGTCTTCCTGGGAGGGACCCTCGTGTTTCCCAACCGCACACATGAACCCCGGTGGGCCGCGCTGTCACTCTCCCGAGCGTTTCTGCACAACTTCCTGTTTTCACAATTAAACAGCTGTGTGCGCCATTGAAATGCATCTGCATCATTGACTATACATTCATACATACATATATCAATCAATCTCTCTCCTCTCTCTTTCTCTCTCTCTCTATATATATATTTTTTTATTATTATTTATTTATTTATTATATATATATATATTTATTTATATATTTATTATATATATATATTTATATATATATTAAATGTATAAAATATTAATTAATAAATATGTGAAACCCTTATATTTATATTTGTGTCATGTACATACCTGCACAGAATGGCTGACCACATGCACACATATATGGATATATACATATTGGATTGGATTGAAATGGGTCGTCTGCATTCGACCGAAGCCAATCTGAAACTCTAGTTTGCTAAAGATAAGGATCACAATAATGTATATCATTTATGATCAAAGTGAAAACCTATTTTTTTAAATCACACTTTAAAATAATTTATATATAAATTAGGTAAAAGCGGGATTATATATATATTAGGCTGTCAATAGAAAAATTAACTAATTAATCGTACATTTTGAAAATCAATAAATTGTGACTATACCTTTGGTTAAGTTTATTGAGTTTGTTTTTCTTCTAGAGACTAAATCTTACACCTAATGAGTAATCACCTTAGAAGGCGTGTATTTCAGTCACTGTTTTTTAATGCGCATGGGCAATTTTGCCCTTTTCCCTTGTGTATTTCAACGCTGCACATATATATAAACATATATAAGTATATGTATGTACAAGGCCGTCGGGGCACCGGAAGGGGATGTAGTAACCCAGACGGTCGCCGGCGGGAGGTCTTTTTCTCTCTCTTCTCTTCTCTCTCCTATTTATTTGTCTCCTAGTCCTGCATCTTGCGCCTCATTTTGTCCATCTCCGTCTGTTGTTCTTGCATCCATCTCCCAAAAATGTCACTCTCCTCTTTTTTTAAGTTCTGGCGGACTGTTTTTTTGTCCTGAAAACGTTGGATCTTGGTGATCAAGACCTGATCCCCTTTGGCAACGGTACCCTCCATCTGCCGGATCTTTGGGATCAGGCCCAACTCACTGAGATCACTGCCTGTGACCACCTCGTTGGTGGTTCTTCTCGTGGCGCTTTTGTAAATCGGCCAGAGAATCCCTTTCGTTTGCTGAGCAGTTTGTGCTTCCAGCTGGTGGTGGTTGGCCTGCTGCTTTGTGCAGCTCCTCTTGTAGAGAAACATTGTTGGGGAGTCGCCCTGTTACTTTAGACTCCAAGGACTGTTGTTGGTAATCAATTTCTGTCTTTTCCTCCAGATCTATATATTTCTGTTCCCAGGTCTCGTTGTTGACCGTGAATTCAGCACTTTTGACAGTGAGTGGCTCTGTCGTCTCCTCAGGTAAACCGTCGTTCTCCCTTGGTTGTGGAAAACACCACAAACGATCGGTTTTAGGTGGACGTCATGGGCGATGTGAACAAATGAGATGGTGCGAGATCTTGCACGCACAGGGACCATTTTTCTCTAGGCTACTGAAATGCGATACACAACATTTGGTGGCCAATACTATTTTGTGCTGAAAGGAAGCTATTAACTTACTATTTCTAATTTCGCTCGTAACCATATTGTAACAGCAATAAGGTACTTGAGGCAGTACTTTTTCTTCAATAATATAAGTTAATAGTTCGGGGGTGTTGTTACTCGAACTGTTACATCATTGGACGATAAAGCACAGCCTCTTGTACCTTATTCCTCAAACATATCTAGATATCTGATATCAAAACACATTTGGGGTGAATTGATGACAGAGAGGGTAAATGTTATTCTTAAATATTGAATGAAGAAACAATTGGGCTCCAGCAGAAGGGGCCCTTTTTTTTATCCAGGGCAAAAAAACTAGGGGTCTATCTGAGCACGTACACCACCGCTCGCCTACTTCCAATTCGACAGTCGTCCATCTCGACTGACCAACATCTTTTCAAACCAATAACCCCAACTAACAGCGGTGGATTTTAAGTGATGGAAGCTTTTGGTTATTACAGGAACGTATTGTTCTTTTTTTTTCATGTCAGAGTCATCTTAACCCGAGTGTATGACTAAGCTGCACACGATATTAGTTCCTGCTCGGCTGGAAGGGCCACATTTCCCTTGTTTTGTGGATGCGGCACATAACGTTAACGTTAAGGTGTAAGTTCAAGGCAATGTTGGACAGTCTAGTGTTGTTATGGCCAACAACTGTGTAAATCCAAAAGAGTTCGCTCCATGTAAGTGTCAATAGGTCACCGCGTTGACCATCTTAGTCTGTTGTGTGGATGGAGAGGAGAAGGCCTGTTTCTCTTCTGAGACCCTCTCAGTCATATTATTATTATATACAATGTAATACATATTCTTGTCTATGTATTTGCATGAAATGATGCTCACAGAGATTTGGAAGTTGGCATAAGGATTTTTGTGCTGAACATGAAATGCCAATACCCGGCATTGGGCATAATGTCATGGAATGTTGAACATATTCACGGATATAATTATAAATTAGTAAAAATATTACGCACATTTGTTACATTAAATTGTCGTACTATCCAAAACAACAAATGTACAGAGAAAATGCGTTCAAAACCGACATACTCGCTTCTCTGACTTCCAGGCCTTTGTCGACATCTGCTGGAGCCTTTGCAACAGCACAGCGAGTCTTTTCAGTCAGGCGCCCGCGGGACACCTCACGTGACGACGCTTCGGTGGACGAAGGACCCACAAACGGCGGCTCGTCGTCGGCTTCCAGTTTGACGGAGATAGTTTGCGTACATGAAAACACATCCGACTTAAATCAGAAGCATCTTATCTAACACGCCGGTAAATATTGCATTGTGCTACTCTACAGCTCGTTGGTGTTCAGGCGGACGTTGTATGCATGTTGAGTTGACTTGGTCTCGAGTTGTAAAGCACAATGGACGATCGCGTCAGGCAAAAGCGGCGCTTTCTATGAATGGGCTCCCAGTCCGTTGTAGACAATACATTAACTCTCTGTGCGATTTCCTGCAACGTTTGCGCCGATTTTAATCACCGAGGCAAAAGCTGTCGGACGTTTTCAAAACAAACCGACCTACGATGCGGTGAAGTTGGTCACTTGCGTCCGCTAAGCTAAGCTAGCGCTCGCGGTTGTTGGCACGTAGCGTTAAGTTGGTCAAACTAACGTCAACGCGACGCGTTAAACACGTTGGGCCTCACACTTTTCGCACACGATGCATTTCTCTTGAGTCGGTAACGTTAGCTTGCATTAATCGTACCGCGGTAGCAACAACAGGCCCGGCTCAGTTCCGTTTGAAAATCCCTCTTAAAACGTCCTGCGCCGAGGAGTCCGGAAACGGTGGCCATGTGGAAATAAACTGTTGTCGGATACTGCGCGCGGAGGCCGTTCATTCACGCTTTTCTTTCCCACCCCAACTTTTCTTTCTGTGCAGGTTTGACCTGAGCCAAGTGCTCTATTTGCATAAGGAGCCATGTTTCTGTACAACATCACCCTTCAGCGCGCCACCGGCATCACTCACGCCATCCACGGGAACTTCTCAGGTGAGATCGCTGCTGCTGCTTTTGACCATTACTATTAGTCAATCTGGCAGTTTTCCTCCTCTTTTGTCATCTGTTAATGAGCTTAAGTATGAAATCAGACGTCTTGGTGCTTTGTGTGTGTGGGGGGGGGGACTCAGGTTAAGGTTGAGGCCACAATAACATCAGCTGGCTTTTTCTTTCCCACAGGACGAGCTGAGCTAAACACTATGAACCGCTTCTGTAATTTGATTAGTTGAGAACTGCAGAAAGTTTACATCTTCTGTAGCGACTGCAATTTTATTTCTACGAAAGGAGATCAGATTTTTGTGGTGAAAATGCTGTTAAATTCACTTTCAGGGAAAGCAAAGCCGTGCTGTGTTTTGCTTCCGTTGAAGGCTGACGCGCCAAATGCTGAAAATCGATTATTGTGTCTCGGTAGGAACCAAATTGCAGGAGATCGTTGTCTCCAGGGGAAAGATCTTGGAATTATTGCGGCCAGATGCCAACACGGGAAAGGTGCACACGCTACTCACCGTGGAGGTGTTTGGCATCGTTAGGTCCCTGATGGCCTTCAGGCTCACTGGGGGAACCAAAGGTAAGAAGACAAGGATGCATGTGATACAAACAAGGGTTACGGAGTCAAAGTCAGTGCTGTAAAGGCGTTTTGCCTCAGAATGAATGTTATGAAGGTCGAAGTATGTGCACAGCACAGAGGGCCGGGAGTTTGTCTTCTTTCCATAGAAGTCTTTTGACTGCAGCTCAATGAACTCACAAAAGTGATTCATGATTTGGTCAAATGCACGGTTCTCTTAACTCCTATACTACATTTAGTTTTGTGTTTATTCCTGTTTTCTGCACGTTTGTAGACTACATTGTTGTCGGAAGCGACAGCGGTCGAATCGTCATCCTGGAATACCACCCATCAAAGAACATGTTTGAGAAGATCCACCAGGAAACGTTCGGGAAGAGCGGCTGCCGCCGCATTGTCCCCGGGCAGTTCCTGGCTGTCGACCCAAAAGGCAGAGCCGTGATGATCGGTACGAAGAAATAGCAAGTGTCACAATGTTCGCACGAGTCCGGCGGTTTACTCTAAAAAGTTTTGTATTTTTCATTTCACATGGTCATGTTTGGTTTCCCTCCAGAACACAGAACAATGCCTCCATTTTTTTTTTTTTGCTGTGGTATCTGGCGCACACATACGTTAAAAGTTAATTGTTAATTGTATGCAGCAACAGTCTCAGCAACACAATTAATGAAATTGAAACAAGGGATGTTGCTATCTTTTAGAATTGGCATCGGGAACAAGATGTTTGTGTCTTAAAGGACAGTTATGCATTTTTTTTAAAACATGGTACACAAGTTAAATGAAAGGCCTTTGGTTCGTCCCCTGACTAGGAGCGATAGAGAAGCAGAAGCTGGTGTACATCCTGAACAGAGATGCGGCCGCCCGGCTGACCATCTCCTCTCCCCTGGAAGCACACAAGGCCAACACACTGGTCTACCACGTAGTAGGAGTGGACGTCGGCTTTGAGAATCCTATGTTTGCCTGCCTGGAGATGGACTATGAGGTACGGTTATTAAAATAAGTCAACGTTGTACTTATTGGCAGTTTATTCAATCGGCTTCAATGATTTTTCCAGCCATTGAAAGTACATGGGAAGTATACGTGAAGCTTAAGCTGAAGTGCTTGTTTTCTTTTTATTCGATATGGTTCAACTGCAAGAGCCGTGTTTTTATATGTAAGCTGAGCGTGATCTCAATGAGCTGCACGGTGGAAGTTAAAATGCACCGGGACATGGCGTGTTTAGAGGGATAACATTGGCTCACACGAAAGCTCGGTGAAAGACAAGAACGTTGTCAGCAGACAAAACCGTAAGGCTGGTATTTGTGGGAGCAATGGTTAATACTGCTCGCTGTATTAGTGCATATGTATCGCTGTCCGCCATGCCAGCTTGATTGTCACCTACAATGTTAAATCCCATAGAATCTGATCTCAAGAAAAGAGTGGGGCAACCTGACCGCGTGATATTGGACACTTTCTGAAAACCCCCAGATTCCCGTATGTTGATGTTTGCTCTTTCCAGGAAGCTGACAATGACCCGACGGGAGAAGCGGCCGCCAACACTCAACAGACGCTCACCTTTTACGAGCTTGACCTCGGATTAAATCACGTGGTCCGCAAGTACAGCGAGGCTCTGGAAGAGCACGGGAACTTTCTCATCACTGGTAAGCGTCCGCGCACGTGCAGTGGTCCACTCCACTGGAAGAAGAGACGATAGTTTAACCAGTTATTAAACATGGCAGGCCTCACGGCCGTCGGTCACGGTTGGAGCCAATAAGAACTGGCACGGCTTCAAATAGTTATCACCCATGTCGAAGCGTTGTTGATGTGATGAGTTTGTCATGTCTCTTCTCTGATTTGCCGTGGAGAAAGAATTTGCATCTCTGATCACGGCAGTTTTCACCCACGCAGTAGCAAGTTTAAGGATTAAGTGGAAAACTTAATAATATTATTATTATCCATGCTGATTTTGGATCCTTTTATATGTAGTTTGTAATAATAAATAACATCTCACACGTCGTCTCCCGTTGTCTAGTTCCTGGCGGCTCAGATGGACCCAGTGGAGTTCTGATCTGCTCCGAAAACTACATCACTTACAAGAACTTTGGGGACCAGCCTGACATTCGGTGTCCCATCCCACGCCGCAGGGTGAGTCCTAAATGCAGAAATGCATCATACTTTTACACACTGCCACCGTACGCTGGTGGGAATGCGCGCGTGTATCTGTGACCATCTGAGCGGAACTCGTCTGCAGAGCGGTCGATAAGTGTAAATTTAAAAAAAAAATGGCACCATTATTGCATCCTGTAAAAAACACTGGTACAGCTCTATTACTGCACAATTCCACTTATTTTATGTGCGTCCGTGTCAGTGTTTTTTGTGTCTGTTGGCACATTTATTTTGATTCCTTTCTCCTTATCCTCCTGTTCCATTCTGCAGAATGACCTGGATGACCCGGAGCGCGGCATGATATTTGTCTGCTCAGCTACCCACAAGACCAAGTCCATGTTCTTTTTCCTGGCCCAAACTGAGCAGGGAGACATCTTTAAGGTTACCTTGGAGACAGATGAAGAAATGGTGAGTGGAGATGAGGGATTGATAGAGGCTTCGCTGTGGTGTTGATTTTATTTTCCCATTTCTAGGTTGATTAGTTCCCTCAATACTTTAGCACAAAATATTGATTCATAGGGGCGTCTGTGTTACTTCTCAGGTCACAGAAATCCGGCTGAAATACTTTGACACAATCCCTGTAGCAACCGCCATGTGTGTCCTGAAGACCGGCTTCTTGTTTGTGTGTTCAGAGTTTGGAAACCAGTAAGTATTTCTATTGCCATTGGCAGACTACAATTTTCACCCATTTTGTTTCCTTTCTTATAGCACTTAAACTGTCTTTTGTGTTGCTGTGTTCTTCTCCTCATTGTTGCATTTGTCTTTCGGTCGTTTTCCTCAGTTACCTTTACCAGATCGCCCACCTGGGCGACGATGATGAGGAGCCCGAGTTCTCCTCTGCAATGCCGTTAGAGGAGGGAGACACATTCTTCTTCCAACCCCGCCCCCTCAAGAACCTTGTGCTGGTGGACGAGCAGGAGAACTTATCTCCCATCATGTCCTGTCAGGTTTGTGTGTGTGTGTGTTTGTGTGCACGGAGCAGGTTTGCAGTGCTTTTCCTTCCTGACTCTTTTGTTGTTTTGAACAGATTGCTGATTTGGCCAATGAAGACACTCCACAGTTGTACGTTGCCTGCGGTCGAGGGCCGCGGTCAACTCTGAGGGTCCTGAGACACGGACTAGAGGTACACACACACACACACACACAACGTGAAACCTGCATGCATGCAGGCCAGGGCACTTACGCACTGCTGAAAAGTGATGAGTTTTTTATGTCTCTTCTCTGAATATAATCTGAAGATTCTATCAATGCACTGATTTCAGCAAAAGCACCGGGTGTTTTTATATCACAAAGTGGTTCCCATGAAAATGCTTTTATTGCTCACAACAACAAACAAATATGTATTTAGTATTTGACTAACTTTAAATCCTTTTCACTTCTCTTCCTCCCTCTTTCTGTCTCTGTCAGGTGTCGGAGATGGCCGTGTCTGAGCTGCCCGGTAACCCGAACGCTGTGTGGACCGTACGCAAACACGTAGAAGGTAACCACCGTTTCAGGCACCGTCCTTTTTTCTTTCCTTTCTTTGAAACGAAATTGATGGGAACAACAAAGACGTCTGAAACTGTTCATGTGTGCTGTCAACCAATAGTTTACATTATATCTTGTAAGTAAATGTATTTATTTGCAAATGAAGGCTCCATTTTTTTTTTCTTCAAATCAATAGCGCAACTAACCATTATTACTCGATGAATTTGATTTAGAAAAACATTCATTTCTAAGCCACTGTTCAAAAACAAAACTGACTGAAACAAATTCACAATGCAAAAAATTATCATTACATCTGTCAAATATATATATATATATATATATATATTATATATATCAAGAACGACATTTTTTTTCATTAGATGAATTTGATGCCTACATCATCGTATCCTTCGTCAACGCCACCTTGGTTCTGTCAATCGGGGAGACTGTAGAGGAGGTGACGGATTCTGGATTCCTGGGAACGACGCCGACTCTGTCCTGCTCTCTGCTCGGAGAAGACGCGCTGGTGCAGGTGGGTGTGCCTTAAACATCGTCTTCATCCATGCTGTGGATGATATTGGGACAATATCCATTTTCCCTCCCCCAACTGTGTCTTTACAGGATAAACACGTAGCATCACACTTCATGAAAAAATAAAATGGTAGATGCAAAGTCATCGACGTTACGATTTCTGCCACTCACTGCGTTTCCTGTCCCCGCTTCTCCGTGCAGGTGTACCCAGACGGCATTCGCCACATCCGAGCGGACAAGCGTGTGAACGAGTGGAAGACTCCGGGCAAAAAAACCATAGTTCGCTGCGCTGTGAACCAGCGGCAGGTTGTAATCGCCCTCACCGGAGGCGAGCTGGTCTACTTTGAGATGGACCCGGTAAGAGGAAAGAAAAGATCTTCAGCATTTTGTGCCACGTGCCGCTTCAACCTTCTAACAAGTGGCAGATATTTATGGTTTTGTCAAGGGGAATGTGAGGTTCATCTTCTCCAGCAGACCGCAAACAAAAGGTTCAAATAAGTCAACAAACCTTGTTCTCTAGTAGCATGGTGACCCGAGGAACGAGCTGATCCGATCAAACCGTTTCTCCCTTTTGTTTCCTTCCTCTAGTCCGGCCAACTGAACGAATACACGGAGCGCAAGGAGATGTCTGCCGACGTCGTCTGTATGAGCCTCGCTAACGTTCCCCCCGGCGAGCAGCGCTCTCGGTTTCTGGCCGTGGGACTGGTTGACAACACTGTCCGAATCATCTCCTTGGACCCTTTGGTATGACATGCAAGCACTCTGACACATTGCCCTGTAGGTGTTTGGTCATCAGAGCCAAAATCCTGCTCGCGTTAACCGGTGCCCCATTCCCCCAGGGCGGCGCTTTGTCAAACATGACCTTTTGACTCCCTACGGTCCCCAGAGAAGAATCCTTTGCTGTTTTTTAAAATATTTATTTTAGATTTCGTACTTTGCCTCACAGTTCTGTCAACCAGAACAGATGAGCAAAGTCCCATCCACGGTACCAGAGTGCAGTCTGGCTTTGATAAGCTCTCTTGCTTATTTCAATTATAAAATATGAGCAAACTGGTGAGGATGAAGTGACGCCATGTGAGATTGTGTTGGGCTGCAACTAACGATTATTTTGACAATCAATGAATCTGATTTTTTTTAAAAACACACATTAAAAAGCTTTAATTTCCAACCCTTTATTCTAAAACCGAACGGCAAAAATACTTCAGAAAGTACAGGTTGCTCCTTGAACATACAAAAATACAAATCAGAAAATGTAACGGATTTGTTTTAACGTCAGAACTTCTCACACTCACAAACGCACCCCCATGTTCACTTAAAGCTTATTCATTAAATGATTACCATCATTGTAATGCAAGTTAAGTAAGTGTATACAGCTAAAAAACAACAACAAAGTGCTATGAGGTGAATTTAAAATGGCATTTGTAAATAAATGCATTAGTAGAAGCTGAGTGTGTGTGTTGCGCACTGACAGATAACGTCTTCTCCATCAATTTATCCCTTCGCTTCAATATGTTGGATTCATGTTAACGTGTATTTAAAGACCATAAATAAAATTCTGATTCTGAAGACATTTACATTTGTGGGGGAAAAAATTGTCTTATCAACCAAAAATTTCGCGACCCCCCCCCCCCCCCCCCTTGAAGAACTTCGTGGACCCCCTGGTGAAGACCTCTGCATTAGAGGCTTCTTAGTTAGCTGCGCGCTGGTTTAATGGATCACCGTGTGTCTCCCTTTACAGGCATTACATCAACTACCGTAAAACACACAGTACATGCACAAGCGCACTAGACTACCGTAAATGACAGCATTAAACACACACAAATATATTTGTTTAACAAAGCACAAAATCTATACGAGACAACAGATCGAAAAAAGAGGCGGGTAAATAAAAACGTGTCTTAGTCCTGCTTTTGCTGCTGTTGTTAGCGAGCTAACGCTAGCTTGATCAGCCGGATGACGAGTAAACAGGAGGCTCGTTACGTTCCTCGCGTCAAACGTGGTGCTTCCGCGCGACGTTACGTCAACCTTGCATATTTTTGGCCATTGACACACTTTCAGGGCCCCAACGTGTCGCGCGGCGAGCGTGACAGTCAGTCATTTCGGTCTTTTAGTAAACTGCCGGCGCCGCTGGCTCCTCTTTTCCGCTACGTCGGCTCGGCGTTTTTTACTTTTGCTCCACGCGCATCGCCTCAACCTGAGTGACGTAGCGATCGCGCGACACAACGGATCGATAAAGAAATTTGTTGCCAACTCTTTTAATAATCGAATTTTATCGATTTGTTATTCGTTGCAGCCCTAGTAGTCTTATATTAAATGTAAAAGTGGTGCATGCCGATGTTGAGCAGAAGTTGCCACTGCTTCGGTGCAACTTTAGTAATTAATCGGGGAAAATCGATGCTGACTAGGGATGAGTATCGTTCACCGATACAAAACAATTGACAAGTTATTTTTTTTTTATTGCTATTGCATTTTTTCTTCTTCAAATGAAATATATTAACGGTAAAGGACACTGTTAATACAAGTATAGTTGTTGCAGACGCGCACTCTGTGTCTGCTGGTGGCAGCGTGCTCCCAATAAGCTTGATTTCAATCGGCTCATTCTGTTCCCAGAATAGTGAACTCGATTAATAAATGACTACATTCCAATGTCTATACCACTCAATGTATTCTAGGAAGAGACCAGAAACCCACAGAAACGTGTAAATGCATGTTTCATGTACATGTAGACACATGTTTCTGTGTGCACTCTTTAGCGTGAGTGTTTTTTTGAGGTCTTATCCTTTGTGTCTAAACGTGTAAACCCTCTTCATCCCGTTCAGGACTGCCTCCAGCCGTTGAGCATGCAGGCGCTGCCGGCCCAGCCAGAGAGTCTGTGTATTGTTGAGATGGGAGGCGTCGAGAAGCAGGACGAACTCGGAGAAAAGGGAACCATTGGCTTCCTTTACCTCAACATAGGGCTGCAGGTATTCCTTCACATTCTGATTCTCAAAATTGCAGTAGACAATTACTTCTAGCTCACACTATTTTAGATGAAACCAGGTTTGGTGGAGGTTACGACGCATTAATCACACCCCTTTTGAAAAGTACAGACAAGATGTATTGTAGCTGCGCCAAGTAAGCTGCTTTGATGGAAGTGAAAAACTAATTTCATGAATAAATAGTAAAACATACATAACACAGGTGTGCTGATCAATGTGGAAGCTAATTTGAAATATATATGAAAACGTATACAAAGACATGCTCCGACACGTTGAGCTGTAATACCCGAGCGCCATGTGTACATTTGTGAAAATGCTGCAGCAAAATGGGTTAAAAAAAGTGAATGTAGCTAAATATAATGTTTGAAAAGGCTGAAAATAGGAAGACACTTGACACAAAATGCTGCTAATCCATCATGCAAATCCCATATAAACGTACGATAAATAACGAAAACTTTTACCAAAGTCTTCAGAGAAGAGTTTTCAGATTAATCTCAAACTCTTAGCACTGTAAAAATATATATATATATATATATATAGAAATGTTACATTTATCATTCCAGAAGGTTATTGTCTTGTATATTCCAGATCGTGGCACCTAGTGAAATGTGTGTGTGATTCCCTCTGTAAGAACGGCGTGCTGCTGAGGACTGTGCTGGACCCGGTGACTGGAGACCTGTCGGACACCAGAACGCGCTACCTGGGCTCACGGCCCGTCAAACTCTTCAGAGTCCGGATGCAGGGACAGGAAGCTGTATGTGGCTCATTAACATTTATTTTTTAATCATTTATGTCATCTTGGAGGTCAAATGGTCACGTATTGATTTGAGAAATGGTCGCCTCCTCTCGCTGGCAGGTCTTGGCGATGTCCAGTCGCTCCTGGCTGAGCTACTCGTACCAGTCTCGGTTCCACCTGACCCCCCTGTCGTATGAGACCCTGGAGTACGCCTCTGGCTTCGCCTCGGAGCAGTGCCCCGAAGGCATTGTGGCCATTTCCACCAACACGCTGAGGTATGCACACGCAACAAGGCTGACTTATTTGTTGGGTGGGTCAGAATAACGCCTTCCTTCTTCCACCAAAGTGAATAGTAAGAAGTTACAGTGTTTACTGATCACACCACATTTACTGGTAATTTACTGTAGCTCCATAAAGTCTTCTAGTGATCTAACAGTCAGCAGAAACCCTCGATTACCCTGTAAATTTCAATTAATGTGGTACAGAATGCCTCCGTTTCCTCTCACAGTGAGACTACTGGAGCTTTTTATAACCTCTGGGCTCGAACCTCTTTGTTTGGCCTCGCTATAATAAAGGCTCTATTCAGAGAGCCGTCAATCTGACTTCTGCGCCCCTGAATGCCGCCAATCATTTGCAACCGCTCGCTCACTTCTCCTGTTTACGTCTATCTCGCGTCCGGCAGAATCTTGGCTTTGGAGAAATTAGGAGCCGTCTTCAACCAGGTGGCCTTTCCTCTGCAGTACACTCCCAGGAAATTCGTAATCCACCCGGAGACCAACAACCTCGTCGTGATTGAGACGGACCACAATGCCTACACCGAGGCTACCAAAGCCCAGAGGAAGCAGCAAATGGCTGAGGTACGGAAAGTGCAACGTCGAGGAAATCACGCTGTAATGATGCAACTCTGCTCTGGTCCCTGACTGTCACATTTAGTTGTTTTTTTTCCCAATGTTCAGCGTTCAATTTTAAGTGAGCTTGCAAATGTTCCAATCCCTTTATAATGAAGCCACTCTTGTCTTTGACAAATGCACAAACGCGCTCGCAGTGTGTCTCACAGCAGGTTTGGCAGGCTGGGGGTCAGAGTGGTTGCAGAGGACATGCAGGCTGAGCATTACGATGCCCCGCTTTGACTCCAAATTGATTATCAATAGATAGCTTAAGGTCTCTGGATTCAGTGTTTTGGCAAAAATGAAAATACCCAATTTGTTAAGGAAAAATATTGTTTACTCTTTGTCCCGACCAAAGCATAAGGATGATAGTCTGGTAGTCACTAAAACCGGGGTGGGCAAACTACGGCCCGCGGGCCAGACCCAGCCCATTGGGTGTTTGGATCCGGCCCGGCGAGTATTATGAATTATAAATTATAGTAACGACCGCTGTAACACTTCTCCGTTCCCGACTTGAGTTTCCCAAAGCTCGATGACGGCAAAAGACCAGCATCGATCTTTCTCAACTCAGCGGCATAATAGGCCCGCGGGACCGCGCCGCCCTGCGCGCTCAGTATAACAATCGAGGAAGCTGATGGTTTTCCAGACCATGCAGGTTGGCTTTGTGATTTAGCTTTTGCTGCAGACACACTGACACACACGAATCAGCTGCACATGAAGCTACAAGGGAAAGATCAGTTTGTGCATGAAAATGTACACAAACGAGAGAGTGAGAGCCTTCAAAGCCAAGTTGACTTGGAATTGGAACTCACTGATCTTCAACGTGACGCCGTGTTAAAGGAGAAGTTCAACCTTAACCTGGCTGAATTCTATGCTTCACTAAGCGAAGCCAAGTTTGCAAACAGAGGAACGCTGCTGCTGTTCTCTGCTCTACTTCGGTGGTTGAGCAGACGTTCGGCGTGATGAAAACCAACAAATCACGCCACAGATCCCAGTTAACGGATGAACACCTCAGATGTGTCCTGAGAATTGCCACAACGAATCTGACACCAAACTATCATGCACTGGCACAAAAAGGGGGCCCAGCAACACCGTTACCACTGAAATGCAATGTAATGTAAAAACGTTCACTTTACTTTTTAGTTATTGGCTTTTACTTATAATTTATATTGGTTGACATGAACACTCTCCATCCATCTGATGCCGGCCGGCCCGTTAGTTAAAAGTCAATGTGGCCCCTGAGCCAAAAGGTTTGCCCACTAAACTTTTTCTTTCCATGTTGACTGGAAAGTCATCGCAAACTTAACTATTTTTAACTTTTATGAACTCATTGAATTTAAATTCTATAAATATATATTTATAAAACCCCCACAAATGTACTAATTCGAGACCTTACTCAGACCCTCATATCAAGTTAGTTTCTCATCAATTAGATGAGTATCTCTGTTCCTCGGGAATGTGGAGGTTAACGTCAAGACCGGGTTCTAAATCACGTTTGCCTGAACGATTTTGAATGTCAACACTGACACACAGTCCTCTCTCGAGTGTGTCCACACGCACAAATGCAAAGCCGTTCTCCGTTGCCTCCGCAGGAGATGGTGGAAGCTGCTGGGGAGGACGAGAGGGAACTGGCTGCCGAGATGGCCGCCGCCTTCCTCAACGAGAATCTGCCCGAAGCCATCTTTGGTGCGCCCAAAGCCGGAGCTGGACAGTGGGCCTCGCTGGTGCGTCTCATCAACCCCATACAGGGCACCACGCTGGACCAGATGCAGCTGGAACAGAACGAAGCCGCTTTCAGGTGAGCGGGTTCAATTTCAGGGATTTGCGTGAATATCCTGGTAAGTGTTCACGTTTCAGTCCTTGTAGCGGCCACATATGTAACATGTTACGCAGTGTTGACTTTCAGCGGTGTTTAATATCTGTGTAGAAAAGCTTTTCTAACTTGTTCTGGATTTTACAACTTTTGAATTTGTCCCAAATCCGTCTTTTCCCTTTTTGTTTTGGTATCTTTCAGCGTCGCTGTGTGTCGGTTCCCCAATACTGGCGATGACTGGTATGTTCTGGTGGGCGTGGCCAGAGACATGATCCTCAACCCCAGATCAGTGAGCGGTGGCTTCATCTACACCTATCGCCTCGTCAGCGGAGGCGAGAAACTGGAGTTTGTGCACAAAGTAGGTTTAACGCCTGAATTCAGCTATAAATGAAAGTGCTAAGTGCTTTGTTTGCAGGTTTTTATTTATTTATTTATTTCGTCCCTGCAAAAGCACCTCGAGGAACTACATTTTATATCAAAACGTTCAGAGTCAAACACTACCTGCCAGATGTTGGTGACAAATCAAGCATGCTACACCCTGTGCCGGTCTACAATCCCATTAACAATCCCTTATCTTGATAATGGATGGTGCAGTTTGCACTGGAACTGCAAATCCCGGAACTATAAATCTACCGGGGAGTGATTGCAAAGTCTAAAATAAGTGAATCCTTTTATTAGGATTCAGAGGATTCACGCAGCATAGTTTAAGTGCAAACCAGAAACGGCAAAATAAAGATTAATATCTAAAGAAATAAGTATTATAAATATGCAGCCGTAAAGATGAAAACGATCCCCAATAACTGAAATGAAATGGAAAAATACAGACCGCGGCTGTGTAGCTGTTATTGCACAGCATTTCGGTTCTTCGAGGGTTGCGTGTGTCTGCCGGTTGTGCAGCCTGACGGCAGCAGGACGGCTTGTTTGTAAAGGACACTGAAGTCTGGTGTTAATGTTAAAGTTCAGTTGTAATGGTAAAAAAAAGAAACGCACAAGGGAGTGAAAATGAAATGTAGCCAATTTGGCTGTGAGGTTCTTGGGGTCAGACGCCTTCACAGACATTCTTCTCTGGGAGGGTTCCATCCTATCACATCGCACTGGTCTGATACAGAGGTGCTCCGTGCGATGCCTGTTGAGAGGGGAGGAAAAAAAACAACACTACCATAGGAAGAAGAGCCTCAAGGGAAGATTTATTCACAGATGTTCCTGTCGGGTTACTCCCAGGAAACTTGAGGAGGATGGAGGGCAGCGGGGGGCAATCGGCCCACTCGTCTTTGTTACCTGGTGTGGACTGAAGGGGAAGTGGGTCATGAGTGTGGTAACAGTGATGTCGGCCATTTTTTTCACGTTGGAGGAATTTCCCAACCACTTGACCAGATCAGATATTTGAAATGAGTCCATGTGGTCGAAGTGCGCTTTTTTTTTTTTTTTTTTTTCTTTGTCAAGTGAGGCACATACGGGACCAGATAGAAGACAGAATGCTCTTCATACCCACGTAAAAACACACACATATTTGTGACGACAGACTAATATCTTGATCTTTTATTATCAGCCGTGAGATCTCTACAGCGTCATGTTCCCCTCCAACCGTTTGTCCTTTCACTCCCGGGCAGCGTTGCCGACTGCAGTCAGAAGCATGTGCTCGTTTCATGCCGTTCATTTCATTTAAACACAATTTCAATTTCTGAGAAAATATAACATGGATGTTTTAAACGAGCAGTTTGAAAGCTGAATTCGTCGACTGGTTTATATTTTGGGGTTTCACAACAAACGCTGTAGCTCCCGTTTTTTGTTACGGGCAGTAAATGTTGCATCTCAAATGGAGCGCAGTTAACATCTCTGCCACGGAGCGGTCTGTGCAGCACAACAACGCAATACTGGCCGTTTTCCCCCCCGTTTGTAAAATTGTGGCGTGATGGGCGAGCAGCCCAAACCGCTCTTCAAAGACGACCCTAACGGTTTGCCCGGAGCAAACGGCGAACGGAATGTGCCCCCTCACAGCGGAGTCCGAGGCGCTGCGAGGGTGTTAACGCCAGCCGCCCATAAACGTCCGGCCTGGAGTGAGCGAGTCCTGCGGCGAAATGAAGTCCCTGCAGACTCGACGCCTTTTTCTGGCTTAACGACCGTAACAAAAATCTTTTGTTTTTACCAGATAAATTCAAACTCGTGACCACTTTTAACGTTGTTTGAATGTTACGCTTTACTTGACTGCTGTAATAGTGGGTTGTGCCTTAGCATACGATTCCTAATCTTTAATGTGTGGGTTTCGTTGGGTACTTATTCAGTCAGTCTGTTCCCAACAATACGTGGCGGTGCGCCCGCCTCCGTTTGTCTGTTATTCCCATTCGCACATTCTCCCGTTTGTTCTTCCGACGATGACTTTAACAGCCCCGGCCTTGGCACTCCTCAGACATTGCATCTCACTTATGACCGAAGCAGGATTCGTCTCACGCTGTGTTTAGTGAGACATTGGATCCCTCTTCAAAAAGATGGTGTTCTACCCCCTTTCTGTTTTTAAACAAACCAGCTGCAGCTTCAACCGAACGCCTTGAATAATTGTATGAGCGTTGTGATTGGCAGACCCCCGTGGAGGACGTGCCCCTGGCCATCGCGCCGTTCCAGGGCCGAGTCCTGGTCGGAGTCGGCAAACTGCTGAGGATCTACGACCTCGGCAAAAAGAAGCTGCTGCGCAAGTGTGAGAACAAGGTGAGACACGGTCGCAAATCCAGCACTAAGCAATGCACCTCGTGTCGCTATTTGTTGGCTGTTAAATGTGAGTCAGTGCGGCAGTCACATTTAACTACATAACTATTTCATTTAATTGTACATTATTCGCCTTGCACCACCCGCCTTCCAACATACCTGGCAAATACCTGTTTGTAACATAAACTCAACAATGTCATATAATCCAATTTGGATTATTGTGTATTTTTTTAAACAGAATGATTTTTAAAGAGATCCTGGTGAAGAGGGAAAGAACCTGTTATGATATTAAGTGCATTCTGCTCTCATCGTGAGATAAAGCCGGTTTCTCAATCACAAATCTAAGTGAACGTCGCTTAAAAGTCCACCCGTAGTTATGTTGTGGACCCAAAATAAAACCATATTGGGATATTTTTTATGGCGATATCCTTTATTCCTGTGAAACCAAATCCAGTATTGTGTCAGCTCCAACCAACCCTGTCAAAGACTTCCATCTAACTCAATTTGACAAAAAAAAACCTTGAATATATAGAATTTAAAGCTTCCGTCCTGTGACAAAATGTTAATTTTATAGGACGGCACACATTTTCAATCTCATTTATTATTTAATTCAATAATAAATCTACTTTCTTTTGGTTTAAAAAATCACTGGAAAGCATACGTCTTGGATCGGGATCTTTCTGAGAGTTGTTTGCTTTTCTGCTGATCAACGAAGTGCTGATAAATAACCAAACGAGGGCCGTGTTGCCGTGTTGCCCCTCTGCGTTTAGCACGTCCCCAACCTGGTGACGGGCATCCACACCATCGGCCAGCGCGTGATCATCACCGACGTCCAGGAGAGCCTCTTCTGGGTGCGCTACAGACGCAACGAGAACCAGCTCATCATCTTCGCCGATGACACGTACCCCCGCTGGGTGACCACGGCCTGCCTGCTCGACTACGACACCATGGCCTGTGCCGACAAGTTTGGCAACATCAGCATCGTAAGAGAAAACAACCCCCCCCCACCCCCTGGAATACGCTGAAATGGGAGATGACCCGTCAGGCGCCGTTGCCTAATTTGTTGTGTCGGATACAGAAATAGTAACAAGTAGTAAACTGTCGGCAGCCCGGTAGGACTACTGACCAGAGGAACGTCTCCATTTTCTCAGGTGCGTCTACCCCCGAACACCAGCGACGATGTGGACGAGGACCCCACGGGGAACAAAGCTTTGTGGGACAGAGGCCTCCTTAATGGGGCGTCACAGAAGGTACGTAACATGTACTCAACGGGCTTCGCCGGGTGCAGGCTCAGATAAAAAAATATATATATATATAACGAGAAAGCTAATAAAGAGGCTAGGCCGGGCCGTTATCGCGCGAGCAGATACCGCGTTGTCTTTTCAGCGCGTGACCAGACTATTCCCCAGCGTTGTGGCACCGGAACGAAGGGAGAGCAACAGAGCGTTTTAATGTTGGAACCTCAGGCTCGGAGTTGTCTTTGATTAAGAGTCACTTGGTTGAGCCCAAAGCCACACACACGTTTTAATGATTCGGGCTGCTGCTGCTGCCAAAATGTGGTCCGCGTCCACTCTTCTGACCGCCAACGCAGCGACACACATGCACACCATACCGACTGCATAACACCGTGGGCCACAAGTTTAGCCTGCTCACAACTACACGTGTAAACACACACACACAGGACTCATTCCATATTTAAATGCTGGTTAAAAACTGTTTAGGTAGCTGCACTGGGAAAGTCCCTCAAAGTTAGACAATATGAGTTGTCCTTTGACACAATGTCGGAGGCTATTTTTACCTCCTGTGCACAATGATTGAGAATTTGGTTTGAGGGAAATGACCCGCGTCTGCGTTTGGTTATGGGTGATCCCCCCCCCAAGGAACTTAATTATCTATACACGGCTTTGCAAACCGCCGTCTTTTTTTCTATTAGATTATATGCGTTCCGCTTGTATTTGATTAATGGATCAAGGGATCAAGGTCACAAACATAGCGGCCCGTTGAGCCAGATGAAAGGACTTAACTGTCTTAACCCCAAATGTCAGAGCGTGTGTGGGGCTGTTTTCTATCGTGGAGTCCAAGCGGTCTCTTGGGGGAGTCCTTCCTCGCGCCTTTCGTGGTGAAGAAACGAGAACTTCTTTTGAGTCCTGCTACTCGCCGCCGCCCCCCCAAGTCCATTTGGACTTGATTATCCTCCTTGTCTGTCGAGACATGAGGACAGCGCGATCGACTAAAATGTTGATTTATACTGGAAACTCTTATTAGATAAAATATGTTAACTGTTTTTCTTGGGGACAATTTGCTGTTGAAAGAAGGTAAAATGTTGCAATACTAAGCATATGGCATTATTGTGACAATATCACAAGTATTGTGACCAAGTATCTTGATAACATTGCATCGTGGGACCTCAGGTGACTCCCACCCTGCTGATTCTCGTCTCTGATCATCGACAAAGAGGGTTGTTGATGGTTATTTGATTAGAGCTGATGTGTCCCTGACCGTGAATAGTTCATGTCCTTTAATTGCAAATAGTTTGTCGGGATGGATTATTTTGAGACGTAGATTTAGCAGATAGTGGAGTGAAATATTTTTCTAGGCTTATTCAAATCTCACCTTCCACGTGGTCTGTTGCAAAGAATCATCTGAGCAGCAGGCAATTGGAAACGAGCACGAGGCCGATGATTTGACTCCGTATCCCCCGCTGCCTCTTAAGAGGCCGTTGGACACAAAAGCAGAATGGGAGAAAATAATTGCTGAACTAATTTGCATTTAAATGATAGTTATATCAATTGCATTTCAGCAACGCATTTCATACACTGCGGCAATTCAGTGCTTTTGACATGAGCAGGAACCATCGTTTTAGTGCTGATAGAACAGTTTTTGAAAATCTGATATCGTCGAGTTCTGCCAGTCAGCAGAAAGCAAATGTGGCTGAATTATCTCCCCCCCCCCCCCCCCCTCCAACCACCACCATTTTTCCTCCAGGCTGAGGTGATCGTGAACTACCACGTCGGCGAGACCGTGTTGTCCCTCCAGAAAACCACCCTGATCCCTGGCGGCTCGGAGTCCATGGTGTACACCACTTTGTCTGGAGGCATCGGCATACTGGTCCCATTCACTTCACACGAGGTATGTCTGCACACACACACACACACACACATATATATATATGACATTCACTCTAAATGAGCCTTTTCTACTCTGTGTTCTACAGGACCATGACTTCTTCCAGCATTTAGAGATGCATATGCGCTCTGAGTTTCCTCCTCTGTGCGGCAGAGACCATCTCAGCTTTAGATCCTACTACTTCCCAGTCAAGGTTTGTGTTGCCTTTTCACGGCCGCGCTTCCTTTTTTTTTTTTTTTTTGTTGAGGAGATTTAATGTCACAAATGTGCAATATGGACCAGAATGCCTTCAGTCTCATTTGGTGCTCCCCGTGTTTCCTTCCAGAACGTGATAGATGGAGATCTGTGTGAGCAGTTCAACAGCATGGACCCTCACAAGCAGAAGAGTGTGGCTGAAGAGCTGGACAGGACGCCGCCCGAGGTCTCTAAGAAACTGGAGGACATTCGCACTCGCTACGCCTTCTAAATAGCTAATAGCGCACTCACTAGGCCCATTACACACCAATCCTTCTCTGCCACACTGGGCCTCGGCTCGGGACCTTGAGTGATGGGCATTTATGGAAGGTTTAACAGCACACAATGTCACATGCTTGAATGCAAGTCGCAGGCACCTCTGCTGCTTTGCAAATACATGCATTTAAGACTAAAAAGGGCCAGACAAATGCCCACGTGGCCGCGTTGCCATCCCTCCGCGTGCACACTTGCAGACCCGGTTACAATGAACTTTCCTTTGAGTTTGTTTTTCCTTTTTGTCTCACACACACGTCGACACCATTTATTTGAAACATCGCAGTGGGTGTCGGACAGCTCTTAACGTTCTTCACAAGTACAGCTGTCGCCAAACCACGCGGCTCACGTGGTCGGCGTTCACGCGCTGCCGATGTGAAATGAGTGTGTCTCTCTCTCTCTCTTTTGGACCCCCGACAGTACACACCTACAATCTGTGAATACTTTTTTTATTTTAATGCTTTTTTTTAGCGAATCCCAAGCACCGCTAGTTATGAACACGATCGATTTGATGCCGCGTTACTTTGACAGAATACCTTTTTAATGCCGAGAATTTTTTTAGTGTTTGTTATTTAGCCCGGTGGAGTTTCACATTGTGTTTGATCGCAGCTGTGAAACGGGGCCACAGTTCAACAAGTGTTGCCGTACTGTGTCACTAGACGACTGCTGAGCTCAGACTAAATAAGTGGGTGTTTGTCTTGGTCCTGTAAATTCCCAACCACAGGCATCGCATTCCTCAGTAGTCACTGAATTTAGTCAGGGGTTTGTGGGATTGGGACCAGTGGTCTGTTTTTGTAAATAAAGTTGTTTCTTTGTGCGTTATGATACCATGTGTTTGTGTCATTTCCTGCCGCTGTGTGGGGTTTTTACGACCGTCTCAAACAAATGAACCGATTGGAAGTCCAATGACTGTCTGAGAACACCTGATTTATAGCATATACAGAAAATTTGTTTTTGATAGCAAAAAATAAAATATTTTTCTCAGTTTATATATCGCATACTTGCTTTTTTTTTTTTTTATTGCAGTGCAACATTTTTGCCAACAAATACTGTGCATGCCAATACAAATATAAGCATGTTGCTGGGATGACTTTTTAGTTTGAGGTGCAATTGGAACAACGTGTCAGGCTCATACAGGACACTTGGTTGCATGGCAGAAGGGAACTCCTGTGGTGCTCCACCTTGATCAGACAACTTGCTGCCGACGTCACTGGCATCATCTCGGCAGGCGCCTGTTGGTCAGCATCTCGGTGATGTCTTTACAAGTTCTGTATGATATGACTATTTCATAATGTCTTTGAAATGTATCTAATGATGAACAATTCGAGCCGCTTCAAAGATGACAGCGTTATGCGCTGCCACACAGAGGGACCCCGACTCAGTTTGGAATTGTCGTTGGTCTGGTTTGCCTGGCAGGTCTTCCTCAAATGGCCCAATTCAGCCGGGTGAACCGTAGACGCTCAGAAGCTCATATAAAAGCAAGCCACCCTGGTACGGACCAGCAAACTGACCAGGAAGTTGCCCGACTCGCTGTCATATGCATGCTGGATTGGCAACAAAAAAAAACAAAGTGGACTTTTTCAGAAGCAAACGGGATGACAAAGATGGAACCGATGCAACCTCAATCTGCCAAGTGTTTTGCTGAGTGTGCTGCACATTTCTTTCCGCATTCTAGCTTCCCGGCTTTGGGCCGCGCAGACTGTGGGACATGCGTTCAGAGTGCCAGGAGTCGGGTGGGGGTGGGAGGCCCTGAAGGCTGCTCATCGCAGCTGTGAAAATGAGTCCCAATGCCTCACGGGGTTGTTACGCTCAATTAACCTGTCATGCAGTCCTGCGTGTCCACGGGGGCCGGGAGCAATCACAGTTTGACACGTTGAGAGAGTTTGAGGGTTATGGCTTAGTAGCTTGATCGGGAGATCCTGACGGTTAAGAGAGACGGTGGCAATAGTTTGTCGAGACACGTGTGAATGACATCTGATATTCTGCCAGATGCATGGGTGGTTTATGAGTACTTGATGTTATCTGCATGGCTGTGGTCCGTTTAACGGCTCCCATTCGACTTGAAGGAACATGAAGAATATTTAGTGTGAAGGAGTACCAATCTGGCCTTAGGGTGGTCTGCTTCTAAGAATGTTGCTCACTCAATGGCCTGTCTGTCAGGGCAGATGTGCAAAGGCAGAAGTTCCAGTTTATACAAAAAAAACATAAAATAATTCTCCCCAAGAGATGAAACCCCGTCCTGATTCGGCCTCAGGGCTCGGTGTGACTTAAGGGACGTTCAATGTGCCACAACGAACCAAGAATCCATTCAAATTGAGGCCATCAAGGATTCATACTATGAGTGGACGCCAACTGGGCCACCCAGCTACTCAGAAGACAAAACTCATGAAAGTTATCCCAACTACTACTGTCTGGTTTCAGCATTACTGCCGGCTCAATGGCTTGTGTGTTAATACGGATGAGCAAAGGCAGAAGTTCCAGTCACATCTTTTCATATTTCGCAGTGCAACACGTTTATCTGACGACAGACAGAACAACAGAAATGGTTAACAGAGGAAATCTTCATTACCACATACAGAATAACGTTACCACAACCAAAACTTTTATCAGAGCAAAACCTCTGATGCTCAGATCAAATCAGAAGAAATCTTTCCATTGAAAGTTCATTCTCGGTAAATCATCACATGCTTCATTACTGATTATCCTCCTCTATGTTACAAAAGCTGTTATTAAAAGGCCTATTGCACGTATCTACTTATGGTCTGTTGTGTACAGGATACTGTAGCTGATTTGTCTTCGCATACGACCACACTGTAATCCTCTCAGCACCATGGACAGAGCCCTCCGGGGGCAATTTAGCATTTCCTAAAATGGAAGTCGCCCAGTTGACTGTGCGCGTGATGTCGTAAAAAGCATGGCAATCGCTTCCTAGAACTACTCTGTCCTTGATTATTGATTTTATTCTTTCATGTAAGATAATGTTTTTACTAGTTCTAACGCAATAAAGGACCTACAAAGCCTGTTTTAGCCTGCCAAGCATGTAGCTGCGTGTACGTTGTGTGTTTTATATAATGCAATCAATTTGAAGACATTTGTTCAGACCACAGCTCTTGGCTATAACACAAAAGAGCGAGACAGAGATGCTGAGAGTTGCTCATTAGTCCAAGTAAAACAGGCCCATCGTAAGCCTTTTCTGTGCGGGTGAGACGAGCTGTGTGAGCTAAACCTGGTATAAGACTACTGTTCAGGGGCTGTGACGTGCTTCCTGAAATTCCTACCAGATAAGCCTTTTGCCACGTTCTCTCCTGTGGACCACCGGTTGCCCCGGATCAATGTTTATTTTGTTTATTTTCACTGTGGTCTATCTTTCAACGTCCTGGGGTTGGCCGATTGACCCCAGATTTGAGTTTGTTTTGGAAGATTATGGCAAAGTGGTACTCCTCCGCATTAAGTTTTGACTAGACCCGTCCCAGATGACATTAAAGGTGTCACCTGGGACAATGTGGTAAAAGACAGCTACCATTCAAGGGCTGTGACAGGCTCCCTGAAATTCCTACCCGGATTAACGTTTATTGTGTTTGTTTTTGCTGCGGTCCATCTTTGAACGTCCTGGGGTTTTAGGAGATTCTGGAGAAGCGCTACTTATATTAAGTTTTAACTGAACCCGTCGCAGATGATACTAAAGGTCTGGATGATACTGAAGGTCTGGATGGTCCAAACGGCAGCTGAAGATCACAAATACATTTGGGCTCAAACTGCTCTATAACCAGAACCAGTGGAAGCAGGCAGTTGTTAGACAGAAGAAGCACCAGCATCGAACTTTGGTTGTCAGAGCATGTCATATTTTTCCGCTTTGATGTGTGCTATATATATAGTACACATATATATATGTATATATTTAAGAGTGGCTTGATGAATGCAGTTTTTAAGGGCTAATGTCTAATTTTCTGGATTTTGTCTGTGAAGGAGGCCACTTCATTGCTGGGAATGTTCAGAATCCACAGACACAGGCAGGTCTGTTGTTATTAATGTTTTGGACGATGTCAGAGAAGAAGAACCGCCTTTCCATTTCTTAGTTCAAAATTACAACAGTGGAGTCTTTCTTGGTCGATTTCACAATGAACCTAGAAGAATTTTCAGCTTTTTGGCACTATTTAAAAATTCTTAGGATTTCCCTTGGAGATATTTTCTCAACATAGACAGTCTTTGACTGAGGGGTTGCCATAGCATCAATAACATTTGTGATTTCAGAATTGAAACTGTCCCTCTCTGGCTGAGAAAACAAAAAATGAAATAAAACGTCAGTAGAAAAACTGTAGATATTTTAGCCAGTGGGAGATAATTTAAAGGAATTAAAGGGTGTGCCTCCTTGTGTGAGCACAATCACCTGGGCCACATTTAGGAACATGACCGTCGAGAAGGAAATTACTATATCTTCTTGCATCTGCGGGAATCCTAAAACAAAATGGCAACCGCAGCTTCTTCTTTTTATGCTCTCCAGGGCCTCACTCATAAAACTAAAGTCATGGGAGTCGACTCAGTGAGAAGCGTTGCACTGTAATCAGGATCTAACCAAGTTCCAGTTAAAAAAATACAATTAACATTGCGCTCGATATTAAATTTACTGATAAAAAAAGTTTTTCCTCCCGAAGAACATTTAATAAAACGTTTAAACAAAAGCTTCCCCTTTGCTTCTTATCTCTTGAACACATATCAGTTACAGTTTGCTGTGTTTTGTAAACAAACAGTATTATCAGACTTGGGAAACAGTGGATGATGGTGTCGTGGAGGAGGGGTGAGGGCGTTGTAGCTGTGGTGAATGGGTGGAGATGGATTGCGAGGGGGACTTTGGGTAGAGAAAATAGGATTAGGGTGGGGGTGGTGACAGCAGAGAGAAGTTCCCCTATGTGGTCAGTGAACTCACAGATTGGGGGGGAGGAGGGAGAAAATGTGGCTGGAGAGAATGATGAACCTGGACTGTGTTTGGAGAAATTATTAGAACAACAGCAAAGCGGCCAGCCGGGTCTCCCCCTCCACCCTGAAGCGTTAAGCTGACCAGCCGTCGCCGGTGTTCACAGCCATCTTCAACACCTCCCCAGAGACAAGCCACGCTCCAGCCCGCTTCAACCGTCCCCAAAAAGACCAGGATCACAGGACTAAATGACTACAGGCCTGTCCACTTCACGACTTGATACGTGAAGTCTTTTGAGCGGCTAGTCCTGTCCCACCTAAAAACCCTCACCGACCCCCTCCTGGACCCCCCCGCAGTTTGCCTTTAGAGCCAACGGGTCTGTGGACGATGCTGTCAACATGGCCCTCCACTTCATCCCCCAGCATCTGGACTCCCCGGTAACCTACGCCAGGATCCGGTTTGTGGACTTAAGCTCTGCTTTCGACACCATCACCCCGCATTTTCCCAGTCCGTCAAGCTCCTGACACCACCTTCATTCGGCTTATGTCTGGTGGGGTTCTGATGAGTCCCCACACTACGACTACAGATGGGAATCTGACCATCTAGTCACATGGTGCAGTTAAAACAATATGGAGCCCTCATCACCTTGTGTGACTACCCCTGTCGACGGTGTGGATTCCTTACGTTTCCTGGGCTCCATCGTCACCCAGGACTTCAAGTGGGAGCTGAACATCAGCTCCATCACCAAGAAGGCTCAGCAGAGGTTGTTCTTCCTGAGGCAGCTGAAGAAATTCAACCTGCCAAAGACGATGATGGTCCACTTCTACACGGCCATCACGGAGTCCATCCTCTGCTCCTCCATCACCGTCTGGTATGCTGCAGCCACAGCCAAGGACAAGGGCAGGCTTCAGCGGGTCATCCGCTCTGCAGAGAGGGTGATCGGCTGCAATCTGCCGTCCCTGCAGGACTTGTTCGCTTCCAGGTCTCTGAAGCG